TGTGTGTTTTATACACATACCTCTGATGACCGAGAACAGTGCAGTCTTTTCAAATGCCTCTTTCTGCAGCGGACCACCCCCCTTCATGTTGAATTTGGACATAAGGGAATTTTTTTTAAACCCTAAAATATAATACAGATTGAGGTGGTTAACAATTGTGGACAAAGTTTGACATTTCAAAATGACCAGTCAAGGAATTATTTTTTAAATTTCTGATTTGGCAAGATTTGTAGGCTTTACCTGTCCATCCTTCTGGCACTGTCTTTGAGGTTTCTTTCTTCAACTCTGCACAACTTTGACACCTGAATAACACATGCCAATGTCAGGCGGGTAGTATTATATGTGTCCGTGTACACGTGTTTACCAACCTTAAACACTGATGCCCATTGACCTGCAAGTTTTCCATCACTAACCCTTTAAAACTCTTTATTCCAGCAGTTTAAGTTTTTCCCTATAAGTGCCCCCCACAATCTGTCTCTGCCTCCAAAATTGTCAGGCACAACTGACTTCATAACAACACAGTGATAGCTGCAGTAACTAAAAAGTAGCCCAGTACAAACATTAACCTCAAATGTACATGGAATAATAAATTCACCCCCTACTGTTTTATTACATTATGTTTTCTGTTTGTACTGTTTAGGTTTTAATGCTGCATTGCACATCTGAGCTATTTGCAGTTATTATTTGTATTCTTAAGCTTTACTATCAATTTGGAAGTTTCAAATTAAATCTTATTGTAACGTTACTTGTACAATGGCAAATATATTCTATTCAATTAGCTCATGCTCTCTCTTTATCTAACAAGCCATTGTTCAGTAATAAATTCAATATAATACGGTAATTAAAATAAATGATGGACTTTGTCAAAGATGAGAGCTTTAGTGAGGAAATGTTGTTTTGGAGAGGGTTTTTGTTTTTGTTTACCATTGCTGCCCGGATCTTTTCCAGATGTTGAAACTCCTCCACAGTTTCTCCAATTCTTCTGCGTGTGTTCACTGTATAAACTAATATGGATTAATCTTTGTCAAACTGTGTTTGTTCTGTTGTTTGCTCTTTGCTCTTCTAAAATACTATTTTAAAATCGATTGAGTTTGTAAACACATACAAATGATAAAACTTTTACTCTATTAAATTTTGCAATTAATCCTCTGAACACATAAGTGCTGAACCGTGGGCCTAGTCACGGATCACTGTCAACTATGATCTGCTCCCTTCACTAAAATGTCACGGTTCCTAAACATGATAACAAATAATATAGATAAATAATGAACAAACGAAAACACAGATACTTACAAGACCAAGTAGGAATGTTCTTCATCGTTTGTTGTTGTTTGCCCGCTGCTCTCCGACAAATAAACTTAGTGCTAGCTCGTGTAAAAAAAATTCAAAACACAACACTGGTCTCTAACTCTCATGTCTCACGTTGTCAGTAGTCATGTCTCAGTAGGGCTACAATTGCCATCTAGCGGTTGGGAAATGTAATTGCATTTTTATTTATAAAATGAAAGAGCCGAATATCAATAATATCATATAATGTGTACGAATGTAACATTTAACAGCTTGTGGGATGCATGACATCATAATATCAAATGCAAGTAAACTTTTGAAACATTTAAATTAGCTTTATTTTTGGCATAATAAATAATGCTATATTTAATAATCACGCTTTTACATGATTGTAAAGCGTTTTGGGTGTACAGCAATACACAATAAAGAGCTATATAAATGCATCATTCATTCATTCATTAATTGATATTATTGACACTGCGAACATGATGGGATATCAACCATCTCATGCGCTGTCTGGCCAAAAACTACAGTGAATCGGGTTTGACGATAAGTGGGCTACAGATAGTCGCTCGGACTATGAGCTAAATCGTGGCTATGCTCAGGCTAAGTATTGAACATGTCAAAGAAATTAAACCAAACACCTGGTAAACGCTGTTACTTTGCTTACATGATGGAATATCATACATCTCACTAGTTATTTTGGCAAAAAATGACATGAAACCAAATTCAAGGTTATTTGGGCTAGAAGTGGGTTACTCATAGCCGGACTATATCGGGTCTATACTTAACAGAGACGTTGAAATGACGGCTATTGCTTGCTGGGGAGACGTTGCCAGGTAGAATTAATTTACACACGCAATCGCTCTCTCACTAATGCATTCATATTAATGTAATCTTTACTGTGCTACTTTATATATATATATATATATGTGTGTGTGTGTGTATATATATTAGGGCTGTCAGTCGATTACATTTTTTAAATCTAATTAATTACATTATGTGTCGATTAATTAATCTACATTTGTATGTGAAAATACCCCCAAAAGAAAGAAATATTTGATTTGATTTAACATAATATTTATTACACGTTTAGGCTACAACAGCCTAACATAAACTATTCAACATAAAAGAAGATAATTTGAGCGACATCTCCGGTTTTTTTTCATTCATGCAATGGAAGTCATTGGTAACCAAAACAGCTTTGTTACAATCTTTAAAATACCTTCTTTTATGTTCCACATAAGAAAGTCATTCATTCAGGTTTGAGTAAATTATGACATAATTAATTTTTTTGGGGTGAACTATCCCTTTAAAGTGTTTTTGTCCCTTTTTTAAAAATGAAATAATACTCTAAATAAGAAACTAAAACTGCCAGCAGGTGGCGGTAAATTTCCTTATGAGTCATTCATTCATTTGATTCATTCAAACGGCTGATTCATTCAGGAATTCAGTAAACGGCTCACTTTATGAATGGGCTTTTGATTAATTGGTTTACCCGATCTGTTCAAAACGCGGATTCATTCAAAAAAATAAACACCGCTGTGTTGCTCTGAGATGCACAACAATTCTGCTGTGGTTTTATAGGTCATTTTATAGGTAATTTTTGTTGGCAAAACAGAGCAAAAACAGACAAAATTGTGTTATATTGTATATAACACAATGATATAGTATATAATATATAATACCCAACAGTATAATTGTATATATAATTGTGCTATATTGTAAAATATATAAATATATTATTTACTGAACTGTTGTCTAAAATCACATTTGGGACAAACAGCACTCGTGTGATTGCTCTCGCTGCTCGTGTGATATCGCTTATATAAATATGTCACGATGTCCAGCTGGAGTGCCCACAAGCTCCTCCAGAGGGCACTCCATCCCAAACCTTTACCATTGTCTCACAAACTCCATTTCCCATAACACCCCATGCCTAGGAACCGATTGCATACACAGCTGGTTCCAATCAGGAGGACTATTTAAGACAAACACACACCATACTGCAAAGTCTTGTTTCACTGCTAGCAGACATTACTCAGCGGTTCTTGCCATTGCCTTGTTTTTGACCTTGGACTGTTTCTCTGTTTATTTTGATTGTGACCAGACAGCCAGCTGCTCAACCTCCTGTCTATAAGCAGACTCGTCTCCATCCTGGATGAGACCGATGACTGTAGTGTCGTCTGCAAACTTCAGGAGCTTGACAGAGGGGTCAGTAGAGGTGCAGTCATTTGTGTAGAGAGAGAAGAGCAGTGGGGAGAGGACGCAGCCCTGAGGAGCTCCGGTGCTGATGGTGCGAGTGTTTGATGTGAGTTTTCCCATCCTCACCTAGCTGCTGCCTGTCTGTCAGGAAGCTGGTGATCCACTGACAGATGGCGGTGGATACAGAGAGCTGTGTGTTTATTCTGAAGGGTGTCCGGGATGATGGTGTTGAAAGCGGAGCTGAAGTCCACAAACAAGATCCTTGCATAAGTCCCTGATTTGTCCAGATGTTGGAGGATGTAGTGCAATCCCATATTGACTGCATCATCCACAGACCTGTTTGCTCGGTAAGGAAACTGCAGGGGGTCCAGTAATGTCCTTCAAGTAGGCCAACACCAGTCTCTCATATTACTTCATGACCACAGATGTTAAAGCAACAGGTCTGTAGTTAATAAGTCCTGTGTTTTTTTTTTTTGGTACAGGGATGATGGTGGCACATTTGAAGCAGGAGGGGACTTCACACAGCTCCAGGGATCTGTCGAAGATCAATGCGAAGATGCATGATAGCTGGACAGCACAGGCTTTGAGGCAGGCTGGAGAGACATCGAGGCTGGCACTGTCCATGACTGGATTCGAGAGCACCAGGCCCGACTTCAGGTGGCATTTGAAGGGGCTAGAGAGAGACTGAGTAGTGCTGCCTCTCATCGCAAGGACTATCACGATCAGAGGGTGAAGGAAGATCCGTTATATGAAGGCCAGCGTGTGTATCTGCGAAATTTTGGAATAAAAGGCCATCATAAAATTCAAGATCATTGGCACTCTGATGCGTATCAGGTGCTTAAGGCACCAAAAGACAGAGGTGTTGTGTATACAGTGGCACCTGTGAATGACCTTGGGAAGATTTGACATGTACATCGGTCCATGTTGAAGGCCCAAATGCAGCCAGAGTCTCGGGATATCTCTCAGGGTAGCTTGCCACCAACAGCCGAGCTGTGCCAAGAAGACTTTAGTCAAGAAGATTTTAATGATGACCTGTTCTTATCTACCAGCATGGATGGTGCTGGTGCTTCTGCCCCGGTGAGACCTGTCGCCTCTGGTAATCTTCCAGTATCCACAGAGATTCCAGTGCTGTCCACAGTTAACCCAGAGGTTCAGGGATCAAGACCATCGACCTCTTCTACTGCTCTGCCTTACCATCCTGTTCATATGATGTGACTCGAACCCCATTGCAACGGACGTCACGTTTGACAGCAGGGCAACATTCTAATTTGCACCATCTTCCCCAGGCAGTGCGGCGGGTTGTTAATGAGACTGTTGTCTCTCCTAGGCCGGAGTCTCGGGCAGTTTGTTTTGTTTAGGCCCTGGAGCTAGTCTTATGCTGTTTCAGTAGGAAACCTTAAGTCACTCTTGTTGAGGTCAGCTTATATGAGGTTGGGGCGACGATAAGAAGGTGGGGG